AGGATGGCATGCACAGAGTACCCTGGCTATAAGCCAGGTAGGTGCTGTGGGAGATGGAGTAAGCTCAGCCTGCTGAACAGATAAGGTCCCCGACCTTGAGGTCTTATAATGTACAAGGGACAGAGCAAGTTCAGAGACCCACCTGGATCCATCTGACCAGGCAGCTGACAAGAGAAGCTGACCAGGGTGCCGAGTCCAAAAGATTTAGGTTCAAACCAGGCATGGTTGAAGTTATCTTTAATCCCAGCACTTGGGATATAGAGGTAGGAGGAAGAGAATAAGGAGCTCAGCAAATTTGAGGCCAGCCTGGGCTGTGCGACACCCAGGAGGGGCGAGGAAAGGGTGGGAGGGAGGGAACGAAGGAAGGAAGACTTAGATCCAAATCCTGGCCCCGTCTTATCCCATGTGTTCTAGTTTGCTTTCTGTTGTTATGATAAGACACCAACCATAACCAACTTAGGAAGGGAAGGGTTTATTTTAACTTACAGCTTATAGTCCATAGTCAGGGGAAGCCAAGGCAGGAACCTGGAGCAGAAACTTAAGGCAGAGATCATGGAGGAATGCCGCTTACTGGCTTGGTTCCCTTGGCTTGCACAGCTACCCTTCTTGTACAGCCCAGGCCCACCTGCCCAGGGATAGCTCCACCTACAGTGGGCTGGGCCCTTCTGCACCTATTGACAGTTAACAAAATGCCTCACAGAAGTGGCCACAAGCCACTCTGATGGTGGCAACTCCTCAAGTGAAGTTTCTTCCCAGATGACTCATTTGTGTCAAGTTGACAAAAACTAACCAGCACACCATGAGATAAGGCACATGCTCTTCCTGAGCCTCAGTTTCCTATCTGCAAATGCTGTTAGTCATGCCAGCATTGCTGCGCAGCCTTGCTGAAACTGAGCGGGCATCTTGGGTCTGTGCCTGGTGAGAGCTTAAAGTGCTAGCGTCCTTAATTCTGAATTGCCACTGGGGCCCGTGGATGATTCTGAGCTGAAGGACAGTCTGGGTCAAGAAAACAACTCCCCAACTGCCTTTCAGGTTAAGGTGAAGCAGAAACCCCTTGTGTGTAGATTCCTGTGACTGGGTTTCACATGCTAGTCCCAAAGGACCATTTCCTCTGTTCTCCCACATAAATATTATATGCAAGTGTTTTTAAGTCATTTCGTCATGAAAAGAAACGATTTAACATAACTATTACCCAGGATTCTTCATGAAATATGCATCAAGCAATTAGGTCTAAAAGCGAGAGGTGAGGCCTCGCACCCTGCTCAGCGTCAGCGGGCAGCTGCGGGCTGAGTGATGTTTTATTAAAGCTCATGATTAGGAGGCGAGGTGGGGCCTGTTATTAGGCCAGCACACACCAGGCATGCTTGGTAATCCCTGGGATGGTGACAAGGAGGTGCTTTTTGTGATGGTAATCTGAGTGCCCTGACAGCCCCAGCACCCACCTCCCTGGGCCTTAGAAGACTCATTAGACAGGTCACCCACCAGAGACATCCCTAATTGTGACTTTGCTCTCACAAGATGTCCTATCAAAGGAGACAGAGCCCACAAAGAAGCAGGTGGCAGGAGCCTGTCGGCTCCCTAGGGACTGTTGCCTTCCCAGAAACAATGTGGTACCTGAGCTGCTTTAAAAGGGTGAGAGGAAGCTCCACCCAGAGCCCATCCACCTGACACGAACACTGAGTCTGTTGGCATCTGCAGCCCCCTTGCTTGGTGCTCCTCAGGGGGGTGTACATCTCATTTATTATCTCCAAAGTATGGAGGGAGCAAGGATACAATGGCCCCAGGATGCTTCTAGCTCATGTTAGGAGCAGCTCCAGCCTTCCCGTGCACACCCCTAATTTAATGCACCTCTCTGTTCTCCACACAGCTTTGAATGTTTTCCCTTCTACTCTGTTTTCATTTCTGATGCTGGGATAAAATATTCTGATCAAAAGCAGTTTAGGGGAGGAAGGGTGTATTCGGCTTACAGTTCTAAGTAACAGTCCTGGAAGTTCAGGGGGAAGTTGAGGCAAGAGCTTGAGTCAGCTGATCACACCACATCCATGGTGGAGCAGAGAAAAACCACTGCATCCACGCTGCTTGCTTTATCCACGCTGCTTGCCTGCTTACTTATGCTCAGCCAGCTTTCTTCACTCTTCCACAGTTCATGGCCCAGCGTATGCAGTGGTGCCGCCCCCATTCAGAGTGGGTCTTCCTGCAGCAATTAACAGTCTGGACAGTTCCTCACAAACCTGCCCAAGGCCATCCTGATCAAGACAGTTTCTCAGCTGAAATTTCCCAGGTGTTGTAGGTTGTATCAAATTGACAGTTAAAAAACTAACCTGCACATCTTTTAGTGTGTGCTTGTGTGTGTGTGTGTGTGTGTGTGTGTGTGTGTGTGTAGTGTTAAATGAAAAATCATGTTATTATAGCATGCTTCTTCAGTGTGTGCCTGTGAGCACATGCACAGTGTCATATGACCTTTGCACTAGTTGACAATCAAGCTGACTATCCAAGAGCCCCTTGGGGTAGGGTCACCACCCTGCCTCCATAGCTAGGGTTGACTGGTTGGGACAGGCTATTCCCAGTTCCTGGGACAGTCCTCTGTGTGGCCTTTCATTCTGTCTCTCCGATATCTCTGACCTGCCATCATCTGGTGAGGTGAACACTGAGAGCCTTGAAGCTCAGCATGGAGGAGACATCTGCTGGAGACTCCTACCTCTCTCCAGCTGCCCTGCTTGGATTCATGCCGAACGATGAGGGTCAGGCAGAGTCAGCTGTGTATCAGGAGAGTGTTCTGGGAGAGGCCTTCAGGAAGGGGATCAGGCCCCGCTGATGGTTGCTGTGGGATCCTCAGGTCCCCAGTGTACACAGGAAGTGGAGGGGTAGTTCACATATGCTGTCACCTGTGGCTGTCAGAGCCATTGCCCCATTGCTGCCCACTGGATGATACAAGAACCCAGTATGAAGATGTGTTAACACATTTGAACATGAGCGCTCCCTGCCCCAAGCCCCTTGAAAGGGAAATGGGGCAAGTGCACTTGGACAAAGCGGTGACAGTCAGCCCTACCAGCTGTGGCAACCTTTTGTCTTTCAAGTTCTCTTCTTTGTTTCCCCAGTTGTGGTTCTGGGAGGATCACAGAGTGAGATGGCTTGGCTCCCCAAAACATCACTGCACTCAGCACCCCATAGTCACAGTCTCTTGTCCTGTACACCTGCCCTGGACATCTCTCCTCCAGCCAAACTGAGCTGGCATCTAAGAGCCTGGGGTCTGAGAGTGTGGGGCTCCTGGCCCTATTGTTCCTTAGCCATGTGACTTCTAGACATCACATCACTGCAGCACACTGCAAGTCCTTTCTGAGCTGGCTCAGATTGCAGTCTCTGTGGCATTCTATGTGGATGAGTCCTTGGCCACAGGCTTTATACATCCCATGTGACAGGCTTTTCTTTCCAGGGCCTGAGCAAGCACTCCCACATCTCTTCCAGTACCAAGGCGATTCTCCAATGGAGTGACCCTTCACTGAGGAGCAGAACTTGCCACAGGCTCTGTAATTAGAACGTCACCAGCCTTAAAACTCTTGATTTAAATTTCAGTTCTTCACTGGAATTATTCTCTCTCAAAATGTAATTGCTCTCTGAACGATTTCCTTTAAGCCGAGAGTGACATCTCTACATACATTATTATGCACAGATGCACTGCTCAGTGCCTGCACTTCATTAGCACTTCTTCCCGTTTGGAAAATGGTATTGGCAGAGCGGGTTTGCAGGGGAGGGCAGTCCACCTGGAAAACAGGTAAAGCATAAGGCCCCCATGGGGACATAAAGACCTGGAAGGGAAGAATGTGGGCTCAGGGAGGCCACAAACCTTCAGAGATCAGTCAGGGCTCTCAGCCTCCCCAGTGGCCCTGGAGCTAGATCCCTAGAGCTGTTCACAAGTTATCAGGGATGGGCCCTGGAGATGGTGACAGGCTTCTAATAGGAAGCCCTAGCTTTCTAATGAATGATAAACTCTGGGTCAACTTTCACAGTGCCCCAGGAGTTGAGTCAGGCCAGGCTTGGGTAAGTGAGCAGGAAGAGGCAATGTGCACAAGGGCAGGCTGGTGGAAGCAGTGTGGCTGGAGCCTGGGGCCTCAAATGGAAGAGGTCTCCTGGGTCATGCAGTACCAACAGTTAAGACAGTGGCCTTGCTCGTCTGTGACCTGTGCCCATCTGGCATGCTGATGTAGGGCAGGCTGTGAGGACCGTAGGGCAGGCTGTGAGGACCACAGGGCACAGCAGCTCTGCTCCCAGGTCTGAGGCTCTGTAGCTGCTTTTCCTTCTAGTACTTCAGGTTGCTCTTCCTGGGCAGATCTGAAGCCAGGTAGAGTGGGCACAGAGACTGGCCCTGCTCTGTCATGGGCTCTTGAGGGAACTGAAGAGTATCATGTAATTGCAGTTTAGGAAAACAAGTGCAGATAGAGGCAGGTGCTCAGCCTTAAAAGCCTTGGAGACTGCTGGAAAAGGGAGAGGGGAAGGGGTATGGGATGGGGAGGGATTTGGACACATTCCATTGGCTACAGCTGAGTGGGCCCAAGGGACGCTGGGAAATGTAGTCCCTGGCTGAGTTGTCCCTTCTGAGTGATGTTTTTCCTTTTGGATAATGGTTAACTGACTTGCCTATTGCTGTCTACCACACTAGCCAAGACTGTCAGTTTGGGACATCTTATAACCAGGCAAGATTTAAGCAGGTTTCTGTACATGTTATAGGAAGAGGGGCTGGGGATTTCACCCCCCAATGACCCCAGAAGCTTAGTGGTTGTCCGTGGACCCTGGTCAGATGCTGGAGTGAAGGGTGCTCCTGGGTGTGACTGGGATCCCTTGCTCTAGACAGTGGGAGACCTTGTACCTTTAGCCCAGTGCCCAAAGATAGCTCCTGGGGAATACATGTGCCTATAGCCGGGCTGCCTAATAGTGTGCTTCCTTCCTCTTCAGCCCTCCTCAGGGGCAGTGCAGATCTTCTGACCTCTGTGTTTTGTTCACAGGAGCAACCAGGGCTTTATGCACATGAAACTGGCCAAGACCAAAGAGAAGTACGTTCTGGGTCAGAACAGTCCCCCGTTTGACAGTGTCCCAGAAGTCATCCACTACTATACCACCAGGAAGCTACCCATCAAAGGAGCCGAGCACTTGTCCCTCCTTTATCCTGTAGCTGTGCGGACCCTGTGAAAGGACCAGCTTTACCCTGCTCTGCGATGGAGCCCAAGACTTGGAGGAGCTGGCAAGGCGCATGCCAGCTCCCTGGGTCACCAGCTGTGTCCAGTGCGTGTCCTGTGTATGGTACTAGCACACCACTGCATGTCTTAGAATGCTGTTGCCACTTTCAAGACTGGAGAGGGCCTGGATGAAGAGGGACTGCCAGCTGCCACACCACCAGCCCCCACCCAGCACCTTCTTGAGTTTCTGTGAATTAAAATATTTGCAATCCAAAGAGATGCCTTCCAGGGTGAACAAAGGTGGAGCTGCTCCAGTGGTGGGCGGGGCCCTGGGCTGCATCTCTTTGTTCTCCAGCTGTCTAGAACTCACCTGTGTATTGGCAGAGTTTCCCCACTGGTACTGGGAGCAGAAGGCTGGCACCTAGAGCCCAGGAGGCCCTGGGAGCTGCCCCCTTGTGTGTGTCTCTAGGGGTGCCTCTGAGTGCTCACACACAAGAGCTCACTGTCACACATCAGAGTAAACCCCCATCTACTTTTAGATGTACACTCAGTGTAATCACTAGATCTTCAAAGAATCATTGTGCAGTTGAAGAGGATGCAATTATTTATGAATAGGGTGTGTAAATAAAATGGTCATTTAATATATACTATTTTCCCTTTTTCTAAAAAAGAATATCCCAGTCTCTGCCAGTGGCAGGTTGCCTACTGGTTTCATTCCCAAGCAAAGTCTGTCTCCTGCTAGCTAGCTGGTGTGGCAGTCCTGGGAAGAGGCAAGGAAGGGAGAGCTCCTGGGCCTTGGCAACTTCTGGGCACCCGAGTGACCACTATGGAAGTGGGACCGAGCAGGATGAGAACAGTGTGGCCAGAGGAGAGTCCACCTGCAGGAATGTTCAGCCAGAGCCTGTGCATAGTCTCTAGATGTAAAGAGTGGGGGGCTTCAAACTTGACCAGGCTACCAGGCTCCCCCTCCTGCCCATGGCAGCTGATGGCAAGTCTGCCTTAACCCCCTCAGGTATATAGTGCCCATGAGTCCATAAAGGGCTTTCTCCCCATTATGGGTCAGTCACACTGTGCCCCGAGAGGTGTTTAATGGGAAAAGAGCAGCTCAGGGAGGGAAAGTAACTTCCCAGCATTACACATCTCAAAAGCAGCACAGCAGGCTCTACACCTGGTGACAGATCATGGGCTCTGAATGGCCTCCTTGTCACCTTGTTCTGGGGAAGAATAGAGTTCTAACATTTCCAAGGACATGGAACCCTCTTGGTTATCCATACAGATAAAAACACTTGTGTGCATGCACACACATACAGACTTGATATATTAGTTGCCTTTCTCATTGTAACAAAATACCTTACACAAAGCAATTTAAGGGAAGGATGGTTTTGTTTCATAGTCCATTGTAGCCAGGAAGGCATGGTGGCAGGAGTGTGAGGCAGCTGGTTACATTGTGTCCTCAGTCAGGAAGGAGGAAGATAAATGTAGGTACTCGGCTGCCTCCTCCCTTTCCCCTTTTTATTCATTTTGGGACCTCCAGCCCATGGGATGTGGGTCTTTCCCTCAGTTAAGCTTCTCTGGAAGTACCATCACAGACTCACCCAGAAGTATGTCTCCTAGGTGACTGTAAGTTCAGTCAAGTTAATGAAGAATAGCCATGACTGCTGACCTCTACTGTGTCCACTGGCAGGCAGTGTAAAAGGTGTGGCTGCCCCTGGCTCAACAAGCTATGAGACAGTCAACTTCAACAAGGTTCCAGAGTCTCTCTTGAGCTCATGTCCTCCCAGCTGCAGGGCTGGTCTGGATGGATTGGAAGTTTGGTAACTACTGCCCAGCACATGTGGGATGAGCACAGGACTGATCAAGTGTAGCTATCACCATCAGGTCTACACACTCTGAGCTGGCCCAGGCCCAGGGCTACCTTATAGTTTAATTCAGGCCCACTATTCAGAGGCAGAGACCCTGAGGGGGAAGTAGACTTGCCAAAGCTGCCTGTCATTTCAGGGCAAAGTAGGATTAAAAGCCACCTTTGGGTGGCTGCCATCAATTTCAGCAGTTTGAAACCAAAGCCATTTCCTGACATCCTTCTAAGCCTAGCCTAAGTCCTGGGTCTTCCTTCTGAGGCCCGTATTTGCTGGTTCAGGGGTCATGGCCCCTCATGATTGTCTCATTGCTGTAGCCTGGGAAACAAACCCTAACCCTTTGCCTGCTTTGCATTTTTCAAAAATGTCCTGCAAGGCAAGGGTTGAGGTTTGACCTGTCTTCACCCTCGTGGACTAAGAGGAACATGAGCAAGCAGCTGCCAGCTGGGGTCTGGTTCTCCAGTATGCCTGGTCGGGGAGGTTAGGGATGTGGGGGAGGTGAGGCAGTCCCTCAGGTCCTGGCAGGTACAGAGTATTTTCTGAGTACTGAGCCACAAGGCCCTCCCTCCTGAGGACAGGAGGAAGGGTTCTGCATCTTCTGCCTTTGCTCCACACAAGAATTCCTGGGCCTTTCACAATGCCACCTTCACCTTCCTGAAGTTTCCCCTAGTCCTAGTCTCCCACTGCCCTTAGGGACTGAGGCCTACAGAGGAGCCAGCCTACAGGATGGGAGATGCTAACAGGAATTTTTTTTCCCCTTAATTTTATGAACCTCTCCCTCTTCTTCCTCTAATTGTGACCATTTCCTCTGTCAGCGTGTATTCGTGTTTTCTTGGACATCTAACAATTGAAACAGCTTTTCCCTTTCAGAAACCCTCCTCACATTCAGGTTACTGGCGTTGATTTGGTTTTTGTTTTGGCTTTTTTTTTTTTTTTTTAAATCTGCTGCCAATTAATGGAGGGGGGAAAATGAGCTGGATTTCTTTGAGGAAGGAAAAAAGCTGCTTTGCCATACAATGTCTCACCCTCGGCTTTTTGTCTAAGAATACAACCTCCTGCCATCAACAAGCCTCGCTGCTAGGAGCCACTGGGCTGTTTTCCTTTATTTCCGTTTGCTGGATTCATTATTGACCACAATGGCCCAACCACTTGGTTGGAGGCAGCTCGTCTGTCCTTGAGTACTGAAGAGTCAAGGGCCCTTTTGGCAGCCCAGGGAAACAAGATGGCATCCACAGAAAGAAAGGCTTTGTGGGGGAAGGGCCCACCTGCCGTCCTCCAGCGTGGCCTGGAGAGGCTCACAGAGCAGCCCCTTTGCTGGAAAGTGGCAAAAGGCCCTGAGTCACAGAGCAGCTGTGGCTGATAACCCTGGGTGGCCAGAGTGTGAACAGAAAGGCCTCAAGTCATAGGTGGGGCTTTCTCCAGCCCCCAGGCTCTGCTGCTGCAGCAATCAAGGGACCAAGATTTTGAATACCAAGACTCAAATGCTTGGTGTCACTTGGCCAGAGATCTAGGAAGGACAGATGCTCTCAGTGACCTTGGGGACAGCGGATCAGAAATACGGGGGCAGTAAGGCTGGCCTTTGGAGTTGACCCATGGATTCCCCTAAAGGGTCCCAGGTGACTCGGGCACAGTCTAACAAACTGCCACGTCGGCTCTTCACACTTCCTTGATCAATCGCTTACTAGCAAGATGGAAACTCAAGGGCACCTTCAGGACCCTGGTGGTCCCTTCCAGCTGAAAATGCACCCTGTCAAGTTCTGATGGTGGGTGATACAGTGACTAGTAATGTCATTTAATGTGAAGCTTTTAATTTATAAGTGTCCTGTTTAAGCACACCCCCAGGAGTTGTTTCCTTTTAGTCTGAAATGCAAGCACAGGCCCCAGGAAGCCAAAGCTGAGCCCCTGCCACCCACCATCTAGAGGTGAGGTGATACTACCTCTGGCCCCAGGAGGTTTCCAGTGTGGGAAAAACAAACAGAATTATACATGATGCAGTATGGGCCACAGCAGAGGCTGGGAGAGTACAGGAGGGTCACAGGAGTGACTGGCTCTGCTTGCAGCAGTCAGGACAGGGCAGGCCTTGGAAAAGTAGTTCACCAGGGAGGCGATGGGACAGCTATTCCAGAGGAATCAGCTGTTAGGGCATCGGGAGACTCAGACAGGCCTGGCGTGGCAGCATCCACCCTGGTATGGGTCTACTAGGACTTCGGCGGTAAATAACCAAGGCAGGACAAAAGGAGAGGCTTTCACCCTCTCCAGTGGAAGCATCTCTTGATCTTGGTGAAGACTGGTAGATACTGGCCTCTATGTGTCTGGTCTGGTCTGTCTGTCTGGAATGGAACCCAGGGCTTTGAGCATGCTAGGCAAGCACTCTGTTACTGAGCCCTATTCCTGACTCCTTGGTTTTTAGACAGTCTTGCTCATATCCCACACCAACCATGTAGATCCTTATGGAGGTCAATCATGACTCCTGGCCCGTGGTCTCCCATTGTTTTCCCTGACAGCATGGTCACAATGACACCAGGGTGCAGTCTGGGATCTGCCTGAAGCAGGGAAGGTCCTCCATCCCATATAGAGTGTACAGAAGGCCCCAGCATGTCAGGAGCTTGCCCTGGAGTGGTTCTCCAGCCCTCTCTCCTGACCCTGGTGGGAACTTACCTGCTTGCCTATCTTCTTAAGGGTGTGATCTTGTAATCCCCCTTCCCAACTCCCTAAGACTCCGACTTTGCTTCACTTTTCCTTCTCCACAGCCCAGTAGCCTAAAACTACACCTCCCAGGTCCTGCAGCACCCATCTCCACACATGCATACCCCCACACAGGGAATCCTGGTTCAAAGAGCAAGGCCCTGGCACAGGGACCTGGAGACAGAGAATGTGCTTGGACTCAGCCCAGACCCAAGCACGGTGCTCAGCAGCCAGGAATTTCCTGAAGGGAAAGAGAAAAGGTCACTTCTTTGACTGTTTTATGTCTGGGTACGTGTGCATGGAGCTGGTTATTTATTTATTTATTTATTATTTATTTATTTAAAATATCTGTTTACGTTCAATTTAACAAACACTAAACATGAAACAGACAGGGACCAGCCTATGCGTACCTTCCCCTAGAGTCTGCAGGAAGCAGTAAATAGGCAGTCAGGTGCCTTCATCCCTACACAGAGGGCAGGCTTCAAATGGAGGGGGTAGGGAGAGAGGCTGGTTCAAGGCCACACAGCAAGTCCATGATCCAAGATGCCCAATTGGACAGCTTGGACGGTCACCTTGTCCAGTGCAGCTCCAGGAAGCCTGGGGTGAGGTTGAGGTTGAAGGGTTCTCTGTGAGTTAGTTTTTTCTCACTGGCTTCCTCTTGAGTGGGAACATCTCAGGCCTCTCTCTGTTTTGGGGGACAATCTCCATAGACGCTTCCATCTGGGTGGCAGGAAGTTACTAGCATGACTCTGGTGCCCTCCTGTGGTATATGTGTGCACTGCAGCTGGGCCTTGGAATAGGTAACTTGCCTGTAAATCTTGTTAAGAGGAGAAACCAACCCCAAGAAGGAAGAGGCCATGGGCTTGGGAACACCCAGTGGCAGGCAGTACGGAAGGGTGGGTGATGTTGTTCCAAAGAGACAGCAAGCGTCTGAACCGATGCTCAGAAGAGGACAACATCCCAGGCAGGGGAAGTAGAGCATGCTGGGCTTGCCTGTGGCTCTCACAGTGCTCTCGCTGCTTCTCTCACAAGGAAGCCTCACTGATTCTCTCCCCTGAGGAGGGAGAGCAGGTAGACTGAATGAGAACAGCTCAGCACAGAGCA